GTTCAAAAGTTTGGGGTCAGTACATTTTTATTCTTTCTTTTTTTGAAAGAAATTAAAACTTTTATTCAGCAAGGATGTGTTAAATTGTTAAGAAGTGATAGATTTATATTGTTAGAAAAGATTTATATTTTGAATAAATGCTGTTCTTTTAAACTTTTTATTCATCGAATAATCCTATAAAAAGTATCGCAGTTTCCAAAAAAATATTTGGCTGTTGCCAACATTGATAATTCTAATAATAAATCAGCATATTTAAAAAAATTAACTCAGTGCTCACCTTATCTCTACATAGACTCTCAATTAGAGCATCGGCCTCTTCCATCCTTCCGTACATTACCATGGCGATGCCGACAGCCAGTCCACGCAGGATCTTTTCATGCTGGGTCTCTTGAGCGTAGCCCACCATGTCCTCAATGGCCTGGGCTGACTTTGAGCCCAACATCACCAGCCCTAGAGCAAGACCAGCCGCCTCTCCTGTGACAACACCAATCAACAAGATGACAGTGAGCTGAACCTAGAATTACAGACTGATTGTCATGATGATAAAGTGTTCTGGGTGGATGCCCAAAATTCGACCAATAGTAACAGTGATGCTTGCTTTCATGAAAACTACTGATAAAGATTAACTAAAGGTGCCAAAATCAGATGACAATAAATTACGTATAAGATGCTGAACATGCCTGTTACTGCATCATCTTGATAGAGGTTTGATTTGAGCAGATCGTAGACATCTTGGCGAGCAGTGCCCAGGGCAGCTAACCCGAGACCCAGAGCGCCACCATGACGAACAATCTGGACGAAAAAATAGAAAGAATATAAAGAATTATTCCTGCTTTTTGGAGTTGCAGTGCAGTGAAACTATATTTGAACGTGATTATGCACGTACATCATTACTGGCATTCTTTAGCTGGCTCAGAAGGTAGTCGATGATATCGCCTCCATGATTAGCATGGATCAGCCCAAGGGCATATAGCCCTCCTCCTTCCTGATAGGCTGATCCAGGTGAGGTGTCTTTGGGCAGGTAAGTCGCCATTAACTGTAGTGCCTCCTTTTCATGGCCCTGGACACAAATGCAAGTAAATTTAACAAATGAAAATAAAATAATAATGATATTAATTAAACTTTTTTTATGAAAAAAAAAACACATTTCAGTCACTTTCCACAAGCAATACAAAATATGAGCTTCCTGCTACGCTGGAATGTCCCATTTTTTTGTAATGGCAGAAAGTCGAGTCATAACAACAATA